TATGATGAGCCGTGACGTACTACAATTGTTTATCCGTTTACGGTTTACATTGCGCGTTGCGTGGTTTCAGAAGTCTTATTCATCGATTACATCGAAATGAGCGAAATTAATTTAATTAATTTTTTCATTTTGTAAGAATAACAAAGTAGTTTGTTCTATGGTTGAGCGGGTTTTGCATAGATCAATATTGATTTGTGGTAGACGTTTCTGTTTCTCAAATTTTTCGCTTTCAAATTGTGGTTATTACGTACAATGGTATAGTATTCTCCGCAACCAAATCAATTATATATATTTAATATATCCGATGAAATCATGTGAATCGTTTGAAATCATAGTGCGAATACAATTGATGCTATTGAACACTATAAACAGTCGGCCATTTTCTGTTAAAACAACCTGTCAAAAAAACCGGTCAATTTCTGTTAAAACAACCTGTTAAAAAAACCGGTCATTTTCTGTTAAAACGACCAATCTCTCAAAAGACCGACCATTTTGTGTTAACCACCAATCCGTTCATAAAACCGGCCATTTTCTGTTAACCCATCAATCCGTTCAAAAAACCGGCCATTTTCTGCTAAAACGACCAATGTATTGAAAAACCCGGTCATTCTGCCAAAAACACTCCAAAAAATCTGTTAAACTAAAGAAAAGAAGTAAACAAAAAGAAGAGGAAAAAAGTAAACAAAGCATCATTTTTTTCAAGCTAATGAACATATTTCACCAACTAACACTAACGGTAAAACACTTTTTGTTTTGAATTTGTATTTGAATGTTATCATAATTTTTGGCTCTGCAAAACCAGATGCTGTTCGTGGTAATTTGCTTATCTGTCGTGTTGGTGATTCTATCCGATAAAGATAAAATATTTTTTAGATAGTTCATAGAGACATCATAAGTGACAACATCTACATAAAAATTGCAACACCTACAAGTCACCGCATGTGGAAGGCTGTTTGTAGCGCGCATAAAAGCACATTGAAATTGCTAACCTTTAGGTAAGATATTAAGTGATATAAAATTCTATTTCGTGCCAAGGCTTCAAGAGCACCCGAGATGACGTTTATTAGTTCAGGAAATGTACTCAAGTATGTAAATGTACTCAAAGTATCTCAAATAATACGTTGGTCACAAAAATTCGCAGACAGTCGGAAGGACAGACGGACAGACAAAATGGGTATAATAAAAAGTGGCTCTGTCTTAAACTCTCATAACCTTAATATATAACCTTTATATACCTTGTAGCGCAAGTAATGTAGGGTGTATAAAATTCATCCTCAACTCAATACATTTCCTTTGTCATTATTATTGTTATTATTTGATTAGAGAAGAAATCCATTTTTCCCCCCGCCCCCTTTCTACAAGCTATGTTCTTATCACTCTTTTTCTGTGTTTACTAACACAGCACGACGAGCGACCGGCATCTCTCTCACATAATTTCTGTCCTCTCTCTGTGTATCTCTCTGGAGGTACGTACTTGTTTACAACTATAAAAATAAACGTCATTCGTTCATCCATTTCAAAATGTTTATCAAGCAATGTTGTCGTCATAGTATGAACGTAGAATAAAAACAGAAAGTGCAACTAAATATACACAGATGATAGATAGATAGAAGTTGTGGTCGTTGGCCTTTAAAAGAACAAATGATTGATGTTTCATTTATAGTTCGCCTTGCTCTCTAAATGTTGATGATGTGAATTTTATGCGTGCACACACACACACACACACACACACACGCACGAACTAAGCAAATGTTTAGAAAACTCTAAAGGTCACCTTGAATTTTATTTGCACAATAGAATTTTTGTTTTATACCGTTACTTGTTTTCGTGTCGTGCACATCGCGGCCGTTTCTGTGTAAAATTAAATTCTGCATTGAACGTAAAATGTAAGAAATTTATTAATAAATAAGAAAATATCAAAAAAAAAAATATTGTAATAAAATGATAATAACGAAATGAGTTCAAAGGTTAATGGAAAATGCGTGCAAAAAAATTATGAATTTTACAGACAGCTGAGCTTTTTGTTATAAAAAATTCTTCAGATTGGGGAGAGGGAAGCCGTGTAATTTTTTAATAAGTAAATGAATTTGGTTTTGGCGAATAGTTGAGAAATTCAGTAAAAAGTGTAACTAATAAGCAAATAATTGTTAAATCATTTATGGGCAAACATATGAAAATGATCAAAACAAAACACAAGAGAAACATTTGCATTAAAATGAGCAAGTGAGCGAGTATAACCTTACTTTTTAGTTTTAGTGCATTATTAAGTGCACTTGATAATCTTTTGCATATGAGTGAAAATATTAGAATTCAGGTGAAGTAGTTTCTCACTTAAAAATTAAGAATGATTTACTGCAATGATTTAACAACACTTTCCTTTTTTTTTTTGCTTAGTGAACTCAATTATTGGAAAACTATTTTGGGTTGTACGCGAGGATGGGCGAATTTGAATTTGAATCTGCTATATATATTTAATCGGACTTTTGTACCATTGAGATCCTTTCAAACCCTTTTCTCTTTTTAAAACTGATTTATTTTGTCACCCTTTTCTTAATAGCAAGAGGTTTACTAAAGAATGAGACGTTTAATGCTTAAAATGGAAGAAATGTTGCTGCGTCCCCATTGTACTCTCTTTTTCTTTATCATTCGTTTCCTCAATCGTTCGATCTCTTCGTTCTCAATACCACACAATATTTAAAGGGTGTTCATATTGATTCGCATCCAAAGATCGCGTTTGGAAACAGGTGTGGTCACCACCTAATTGCATCTAAAGATCGTAATTAGTTCAAAACCAAATGTAAAAAAAAAAAATTTCTGTTTTACTGTTAAGGAGTAAAATTGACACAGAAAGAAAGCAGGCGTGGTCAATAGTCGAATCTGAAAACTGTGAGAAACAAAAAACCTAAAAATTAAAGAAGAGCTTCACTTTGTTTGCCTTTGACAACAAAAAGCTAACACTAAAAAGGTAGTTCACCCTCCTCTATTATCCAAATGGATAATAAGCATTCTAGGTTAATTAAGATGAATATCTTAGTTATATGTAAGAATTTTTATACACTACTTGAAACAAAAAAAAAACTTGGAGATAGCCATCGTAAAGTGCCTACAGCATATTATTGATATTGATTAGCTTAAGATTCCTAGACTGATTCTATTATGGAAGTTACGAGAAGACTTTGAAAATCAAAACTTATATATAACTGATCAAAGTTGAAAATAGGTACAAACTGCCCAAACAATTTCTTATAAGAATTCAAAAGTTTGCAAACAGAGATGTATAGGTACTATTGTTAAAGCGTGGTATACGGCAGCTTATAAACTTAGATATGTTATTTGCTATTACCGATCGTGATATTTGCTGCTTATTATAGTTTTAATTATCCTATTGACAGGAGCGTCATTAAAAGCAAGAAAGTTTAAGGGAAGAAGAGAATATTCACAACTTGTTCCGAAATGCATATATTACTATGTATGACCAATTTATTTTTTTCTTTTTTCAAACGAATCCCCAAATTCAAATAGTGCTCGTTGTTAACAGGTTGGAAGGTAGTGCACAACACCACAACAATTGAAGGAAACTGTCAATATATCGCCTTCATTTTTGAGCGACGTTGGCGAGATTTTTTTGGCCGATGATATCCGCTCGATTGGACGGTTATTTGCGGGTCGTATGCTTAGATCCAATTCTCATCTTCAGCAACTTTTTGCCTCAACAACAACAAAAAAAACTTTTTTTTGTCGTACTAATGACGTTTATGATGGGAAATTGTACGTATTAGACAGTTAGAAAAGGGAATATCACTGTTTAACTTTGAACATTACTTGAATGCTGGTCTTACTTTTTGATCACAGCATTAATTTTTTTCCTAAAAATCGGGTTAGGAATGCTCGGAGAGAGAAGTGGACCCCTACAACTTGTGTTGTATCTGGATTTATTAAATACGGTTACAAAACAGAAAACCTAACCACTTAAGGTATTACTATGACAGCCGATTTTTTTGGAATCATATAGGTTTAGCTGTTGCGTAACTCCACGTGTACTTCATAGCAGTGAAAGCGAAAAAATTAAGGTTCCTTAAGTAATTGAAGTGAGTTTTTTGTTTAAAGCTCAAAGCAATCTTACTTATGAGTAATTATTTTGAAATGGATGCTTGATGAAATGATCTTTGACTTTGTCGGTAGAAACTCTTAAATATTAAAACTTAAGTAAGCAAGTCAAGAGTAGAAATGAGTTTTAACGGATTCACATATTTTCTGACACTTACTCACAGATATTTTAAATTTAAATCTTCACTCAACCTTACAAAACTGATCTCATGATTTCATGAGCTGCAATAAGCATTGCTTTATAGGTAGGAGCACATACTTGCAGTGAATTTTTCAAAAAATTTGAAAGTAAAACGAAAATAGAAAAAAATCGAAAGTAATTTCATGTTATGATCGAAGCGAACGGAGTTCAATGACAATTGAACTTTAGCGAACTGATTAGAGCAAAAGAGAAAAGAAAATCATTTATGCTCGAGAAGCATTTTATTTAAGTGAACTTCAAAATATGTAAATAATAGACTTGTTCTCGCGCACATTCTCTACAAATTGCATATTATTAGTGTTATATCGTTAGTCACGCACTTGACTTGCACTAAAGATATAACGCATGGTAGCCGATCGATAATAGGACTTTGTATCAAAGATTCAATGATCGTATAGTGCATTTTATCATTTAATCACAGTTTATTTACATATAATTGATTTCTTTTCAATTCGTTTTAAAGATAATCGATCATCGTATTGTTATCATCTTCAGCAAATACAACTAAATCCTGGTTCTTATAATAATAAAAAAAATAAATTCTTGAAAAGTTATAAGATATGTATTGGTGGCTGAACGCATTAATTTGCCTGTTTACATATATTTGGCATAATTTCCATTATTGTTGTATTATTATATTTATCATATGGAGTTGGCTTTACGATCGTTATCTGCACTTGACGCTAGCAAATGTCATCGTCGACCAAAACGATGATGATAACGAGTACAATAAGAATAAGTCTGGCAGTGTGAACAAGAATAATGATTGTAAGGATAAAAATGAAAGCGAATATGAAACAGTTACTCGTGAGCAGTGGAAAGCATTAAATCGTACGTATAGCAGAAGTACGACGATGGGTAGTAAATCATCTAAAAGAAGAAATTATCAGGAGGTATGTCATCATATCTATACATCCAGCTTCAATAAATAATATCGGGAAACAAAACTTCTACTATTTGCTCGATTTTATTGCTATCGATTGTGATCGTTTGTAGATCATTGTGTAGAGTCGATCAAAATTGTGCGTAGTTATAGTGTATATTTCCGTCAAATAATTCCTATTAGTGCATGTATATATATAATGTTTAAGTAAAACCGAAAAAAAATTGGGACAATAAATCCTGGGAGCGGGCAGAGTTACCAAAGTGTTCATATGTAACAAATGTAGCATAAATATCCTGTAAATCGTTTCGTCCATGTCATTTATTAGGGTAACATCTCTTGGAAAATGTGCCCAAATTCATGTCCAAAGTTAAAGTTTCTCAAATTTCTTTAAACTTGTTGCTCTCTCATATTTAAGACAGAGTGAAACGTCCGACCGATAGGTTTTTATGCTTTTTATTTCCAGCACCGAAGGATTTCGTCAAACCATTTGCAACACCCAGGTGGAAATTTCAAGACGCCTTAAAGTGCATATGCTCTTCAACGGTGTCAAATTCAGAAAAAAGTTAAGTCTGTCCGTCTGTCCATCTGTTCGTTGGCTTATTTGTTCTGCTGCCATCTATCGATTATTTAAAAATATTCTTACATTCATATCTAAACGTCCGATCTAACCAATAAGTATCTATGCTTTTCATACACAACATGGAATAGTTTCGGTTTCCCAGATGGAAGTTTCACGAGCTCGTAAACTATACCTATATAAGATAAGTGTCAAATTCAGAAACTCCTTAAGCCTGTCCGTCTATCCGTCTATTTATTTGTTTATGGGAAATATCCCCCTGGTCGCAAAAAAAAAACCATTGGCTTCAAAAGTTAGTTTCAATTCTTGCTCATAGGCTGAATTTGAAAAGGGGTTAAATCGCTCCATAGTAAAACTTCCCGGTATTTTTAAAAGCGAAGACAGAGATATTTTGTTCATCATCCATAAACTGTAACAATATATGTGTACCTATTCTATTTGAATGTAAAGGTGAAAGGTATAAAAGGTTCAGCAACAGTTAAATACAAATTTCTTAGTTGCTTTTCTTATTATTAAGAATAAAGTTAATTAAGGGTATATTCCACTGGATGAAAATCATTCTGTAACGTAAATTTTCTGAAAATAATTATAATTAAACATTATAATTATAAATCATATTAAATTGCAACGAGTTTTTGAGGAAAACCAACCATCGCATCGTAATGAAGCAGGACTAACGTGCTTCTGTTTTCTTTCTTCCTTTCTATCAAAGTTCATTTTGAACCTTTAGTTTAGTCAGTTTTGGTAAAATGTTTTAGCTTAACACTAGAACTACCCACGCTTCACATGTAATCTCGATTTTGGTCCTCAAATTTTCCTAAAAAAAAATGTAATCTAAAGTGTTTTTCGGGAAATGTTTCTGTTAGAAAACTTTTTCCGTCCAGGTAAGAAAGTCTAAGTGGGCCGTTTAGAAGCTAGGTGCTTGCTGTATTTATTTGAAAAGTCTTCGTGGTTTGGTTCTGTTGGTAAGCCGAAGAGGATCTTTTTTAAGGCTTCATGTTTAATATCGCAAATGATCCCATGAAAGTCCCTAAAAATACCTTAAGAGATCGTAAGTTACCGACGAGAATACTACAAAATTTTTAGGAATTTTCGTAATTTTTTATATCAACTTTCGATCTTAAGAAAAAATAGTAGGTTAAGATGACTCCCTGCGCTAGACTTCTTTCACATTCATGTCATCCGTCTGCTCGCAGGACAGATAGATTAAATTGGGTTTTTAAAAGTTTCTCTATGTAACTAAGTTATTTAAAGCTCCAAGGTTGGAAAGCATCAATTCGGTGCATTTCTTTGTTCTTGTTGCACTTTACACGACTTGTGATATGTTCTGTTTGAGCGGATGTATCCCACTCTCAGCAGGACTTAAGATGTACTCATCTTTTATCAACGCTTTATTTCGCAGAACCATTTGCTGAAACGGTCTGTGCTTGTCTGTCCCTCTGTCCTTCATGCTTTGCTATGTTCGACATATTGGCCATAGTTCTCAACATATATTGATGACATGCGGTATAACGATGTGTTTTTGCCCAGGGACGAACGCTATTGAAAATGGTTTGGGACTACTGCCCATATAACGTCTTATCTTGAGAAGTCGTTGTATGAATAACTACAGGGTGATGTAGGAATACCTCGTAGTGGCCCATTTTAGTCTTTTTACTTATAATGGTGGGTGAAAGTCGTACATATAGATATATATATATATATATCTCGAAAAACTGAATGACTGAATATAAATCGTCCTTCAACCTATTCGAACCAATTCGAAACATTGTTTCGGTATCTTTTAAGGGTCCGTTCGGGCTACACGCAATAAAGGATATACTTTATAGAAGGAATCGTCAAAAATATTCAACGCGTAATTTCTGCAACTGCAATGAGCTGTTATTTCAGTTTCCTCAAACCGGGCCACCAGGGATAATTTGATCTCGTGAAAATATTCTGACGTTTACATATGACGAAAGACTTGTCTTAGTTTAGTTCTATTGATCTTCCACTAAAAAAGAAAGTATCGATAAATTTTCTTTCTTTCTCATATCATAGACGTTTCCTACCCTTATACCTCCGAGCCTATGTATTATCTTGTACAAAGGATGAGAGGCTAGCTTCACATGGATGTTTCACCAACAAGAAACAAATATTTAATATGTAGTAATACCCATCAGAGATGGGATCAGATCTTTTATGGCAAATAACAGAATATTTATAACCACGTCCATCTATATAGCTCATGGGTCAATATCACAGTTATGATCTCAACTCTTATTTACAAGAATAAAATTTTAGTTATCACAATCGGCGCCTTTTATAGATAGTCGATGTGACATGTCAATTTATATTTAACAACTAACACAACATTTTGGTTTTATGTCTTACTCTACATATGTAAAGTGTCGTACAGGGATGAAGTATACAATTTGTCTTTTGCTTAAGTATTTATGTATTGAGTGTTTTGCTTACGGAGTTGCTGTAAATCTTTATATATATGATAAGACTTGGTTTTAATTCTACCTTTACTAAAGTAAACTGACTTATTACTTTTTAAGTATTTCGCGGACATTTTCGGACCATCTTGTCTAATCCAATAGCGTGATTTCTCGGGACGCTCGGTTGAGTGACTTATTCACATGTCACATTTCCAATTATTGTAGTTATAAAGTGTCGTTCGCCGAATATCGTCCAATTTTCAAAATTTGTTTTTTTGTCAGAGCTTGTAGCCGAAATAGCCATGGACCCATTTTCGCACCTCTTAAACTTCTCCGAACTGTTGACCTGCTAAACACGACTGAATAAGTGATAATCGAATGGGTCAAGTGTGGTAAATACCACGGAATGCGATAAAACTTGCAAGCCTAAGTAAAACTGGGTTGCTTTTACTAGAGATGTATGGACCTATGCACGTTTTATCGTTTCAAGACAACAGTTTTGCAAACCGATCCCTAAGGTTTTCTTAACTTACGGTGTTTTTACCCCGAGCAAACTTTATCGTAGTTTTAGCCGCATTTTTTTCCAGGCTAATCGAGGTAAAAACACAGAAAAATACAATTCGATAAATGGCATCCACCTCTTCACCTTAGACGATAACTTGTAAACAACTGAAACTTATACCTTTCAAAACTTAATATCCAATTTGTCTTTACCTTCCATTTCGGGAAAATTGTACCAGCCATGGATGTTTTATGAAACGGAAGCAATTCATTTGCACACATAATGAAATCAAATTTTTTCAAAAAAGTTTGAAATATTCGGTGTTTGCAGAAATTGTGATAACTTTTTCATTTTTAAAAAAAGCCTTTATTGCGGTCAATTGGTACAAAGTGTATTAATCAAAATATTTCTCTCATTTTCTACAACATTTTACAATGTTTATGGCGACATCATTTCGAAAGAACTTATGGCGGCGATCCACCCGTCGATCCATTTCCGCACTCCTTCAACTTTGCCGACCCGCGTTCCATCCAAACCATGCTTAACCCTGGTGCACAAGCGATAATCAGGAACCGCCATGTCTGGTGAGTATGTTGGCTGTGGCAGAATTTCCCATTCGAGCTGCAACAGTGCAACAGTGCATTCCGGCCAACTCTTGCAACATTAATCCAGTGGCATTTTCAATTAATTCGTGTCGCCACTTTTGAACCGTTGAACCCAAAACCAACAATTGGGATATGATGAGGTAGCGTCACCATAAGCCTCTGAATGAACAAAAGAAAAAAATTTTCAGCGCTCCGTGATTAGCGTCGGTGTCCGCTGAATAAATCAATATTTCTAAATGGACAAGGGTTTTTTTATGCGTAGGAAGGTCAAACTCATCGACCATTCAACCTTTATGTACATTGGTATTTCCCAATTCTTTATCATTTCTAACTGTAGAAGTCACTGATCAAAATTTCTGCAAACACCAAATATATGTAGGTACGAGTTCAAGTTTGAAGCTCACGCCTGCTTCCACTTTGTTTGTTTAAATTTCAAATACTTAAAGCTCTGCAGCCGAATTCGTAACGGATTTTTGTTTTTTTTTTGGTGGTCTTCGCTACTTGAAAGCTTTCGTTTACAATAAAATTGAGGAGTTTTTCTTTGCATCCCTTGTTTCGAAATATCAAATTTGATAAAAACTCATAACAGTTATGACAAGAAAGCCCACTGCTTTCTACTGTGACTAGTGACTGACAATGACGCCAGAATACGCTTGATACTCGCCTCTATATCTAAGTAAACAGATAAATAGTAAGATTTTATATCGTTTACTAATTCCTGTTTCGTCCGAAATGTTCATTTATTTACGGAATAGAAATTAATTTTCTGATTTTCTCTCGCCTTTTTTTTGTTTTCGATTTTTCAGAAATCCTCTAATATGAGTAGAATTTCGAATGCACTTAGCATATCGATAACAGAGGGTACGAATGCCGAAAATTTCTTATATCGTATCAAAAGGGGTTCGGTACTACATGTTCATCCGGAGGCAGCAATTTTGGGACGTGAAATCGTACTTTATACAAATTACCCTGCAACAGGTTGTCAACGAATATAAATAATAGAAGTGCAGTACTTATCTGTTTTAATAATTATAGATGATCAATTTAAACGTACGGAATTTAGAACTCTAGATTGGTTTCGTAAAAATGGCAGACAAATCACCACTAATAAATATCAATCAGCCCATATCGTGGATACGGACATATATGCAGAAGTTAAGATGAATATGTCGGGAACATTTCGTTTCTGGTTTCATTATAAGGAGAGGTAAAAACAAACAAAAGAAACCACGGTGGGCAATGGCCCGCCATTAAATATCCTACACCTTCCTACAGGTATTCATGTAACGGTTTTTTAAAATGGTCGAAAAGATGTTTCGATTTGAACCATTTTCAATAGCATTTGCCCTTTGGACAAAGTATATCATTGTACCAAATTTCAAAGATTGCGGTCTCTAGCTTGAACGCAAGAAAAGAAGACGAACCGACCGACAAATTTAAATTGATTTGGAAGCTCATTCTAAATTTGTGGGTCTATGCCAAGTCATTCTGGGTCTTGCATACGTCCGCCAAAACTTAATATAACCTTATACAACTGGTGGTGTAGGCTACAACGAGACGATAAGTCATAAGTTCTTTATCCAATAATTCTTTAATCAAATTTTTGCTTGATTTTTAGCCCAAAGAAAGAACCAGCTGGATCGCTCTATGTTCAAGTAGAGCCAACTTTACAAGTTGGTCGACCAGGAGTTGAAAGAGTGATACCCTTAGATTCGGTGCGTTGTCAAACGGTTTTGTCGAAGCTGTTAGGACCCATAACAACATGGGAATCAAAACTGCGAGTGACTAAGGAGTCGGGTTATAACGTTATACATTTTACTCCCATACAAGAATTGGGCGCTTCACGTTCCGCTTATTGTTTACGTGATCAATTGCGAATAAATTCCGATTTCGCGAAATCAAAAGGTGAAAAAGTAAATTTTGAAGATATAGAGAAGGTGGTGAGGCAATTACGCGAGGAGTGGGAAGTGAGTTGCAATATATGCTAAGTGAATAAGATTGATGAAACGATAACTAATTATAGATAGCCTCGATTTGTGATATTGTTTTAAATCATACTGCCAATGAATCTGAATGGTTACTTGAACATCCAGAGGCCACATATTCCTGTGCCACATGTCCTTATCTACGACCTGCTTTTCTCTTGGACGCTTTGCTAACCAAATGCGGTGAAGACATAGCAAATGGTTTACTGGAAGATAAAGGAATTCCTTCAATTATTGATCGCGAAGAGCACTTAGAAGCTTTAAAATATCAGTTGCTTTATGTCTATCTTCCAAAAGTGAACATTCACGAGTTCTATCAATGTAATGCCACGAAATATGTTAGTGATTTTATGGATCATATAGGTACACTCCAGCCACCTATGAACGTGGTTAAAGAGCAGCGTTTTAAAGAAGTGAAATTGCTACCAGATAAGGAATATAAACGCTTAGGAGCTGCTATCAATATGAACGTAGCTTTAGATGTGTTCAACAGTTTCTATGCCGACTGTTTTGATGAGGATTCGCGCGCACGCAAATGTGCGGATGCCCTACGCATGCACCTAGAATCGCTTAACGAAGAGGTGCGCAATAAGATTCAAGGTTATTTAAACGAAGCTGTCGATAATTGTTTGAACGGTGTGCGTTACGAACGCGTTCGAAACGATGGTCCTCAAATTAAGGAAATATCTGAAAAATACCCAGTATTTGTTCAGTACTTTACACAAACGAAAGCTTTTGGTAAAACTCTTAAAAATATTGAAGCAGACATGTATGATAAGGTAGGGGAAATGTTTATGGCTCATAACGGCTGGGTAATGGGTTCAACAAATCCCCTGAAAGACTTTGCCGAAGAACAACCAGGTTATGCTAATGTGTACTTAAAACGAGAGCTTATAGCCTGGAGTGATAGCGTGAAGTTGCGTTATGGTAAATCGCCTGAAGACAGCCCTTTCCTCTGGCAGCATATGGCAGTTTATGTAGCAACAATGGCTCGCATTTTCGATGGTGTGCGCTTAGACAACTGCCACTCAACTCCTATACATGTAGCAGAGCATCTCTTAGATATTGCTAGAGAAACTAAGCCGAATCTCTATGTGGTCGCCGAACTATTTACTAACTCTGATGCTACTGACAATGTGTTTGTTAATCGTTTGGGTATCACTTCGTTAATAAGAGAAGCTTTAGCGGCCTGGGACGCACATGAACAAGGACGTTTGGTATATCGTTTTGGAGGTCTGCCTGTAGGGGCGTTTATGGTAAATCCCAAACGTGATTTGGCCCCAAGTGTAGCCCATGCTATGTTCATGGATATGACACATGATAACCCCTCACCTATCGAAAAAAGATCAGCATATGATCTTTTGCCATCATCGGCTTTGGTTGCTATGGCTTGTTGTGCGATTGGCAGTAGTCGCGGTTATGACGAATTGGTTCCTCATCATGTAAACACTGTTGGGCGATAGTTTTGTGTTTAACATACTTACTTCCTATTACTTTTTTAGATTCACATCGTAGACGAGAAACGCACTTACCAATCGTGGGATAAAGAAGTAGATTTGAGTACAGGGATTATAGCAGCTAAACGGGCATTAAACAACCTGCACCATCACTTAGCTGAAAAGGGTTTTACTCAAGTTTTTGTAGACCAAATGGACCCGAATATTGTAGCGGTCACTCGACATTCACCCCAAACTCATGAAAGCGTCATTCTTGTGGCTCATACAGCCTTCAGTTATCCTCATGCAAGTGCTGGTCCCACATATGTTCGACCTTTATGCTTTGAAGGTAAACTTGATGAGATTGTATTGGAAGCCCAGTTTTATATGAAAAGTGAGAAACCTTTTGGGCGCCCTCAACCCTTCAAAAGGCATCCTGATGTGATTAATGGTTATCAACAGTTTCAGTTAATTCTAAGTGAACATATTCCCTTAAATAAGTCGAAAATCTTTCGCCATAAATCCAATGCAGAGGAACATTTAACAAAGTTGGATTTCGAAAATTTTAAACCTGGCTGTGTAGTGGTCATCAAGTAAAAATTTTGAGCATTGTTTTTAGTTTTAAAAATTAATTACAATATTTTTTGTTGTCAGAGTGTCCTTGAATTCACCATCCCGCGAAAATATTTTACGTTTACATCAATGGATCCACTCCATGCAGTTTCGTGACGGAGGAGCTTTTCAGGAGCTTCAAAAGGTGGCTAAGACATTAGATTTTGTTGACTTGAATCGCGCCTTGTTCACATGTGATCAGGAAGAGCGTGATTTAGGCTTTGGCGGGGGCGTCTACAACGTACCTGGATTCGGTCCCTTAGTTTATTGTGGTTTGCAAGGCTTCATTTCTCTCCTAACTGAGATATCACCGCACAATGACTTGGGCCATCCATTTTGTGACAATTTGCGAAATGGCAATTGGATGATGGGTAAATTTGCCTGCCGTCGACAGAACCTTGCAAGCTTGAGATTGAGATTTACTTTTTTCAGATTACATAGTCGATCGTTTGTCTCATTTCGACGATACCAAAGCTTTATCATTTAAGTTGAAAGCGGCCTTCAATTATTTAAAACACATACCACGCTATTTGATACCCTGTTATTTCGACTTTATTCTAAGCGGGGTATACGAGATATTGATCGACCGTGTCTATCAACTGATGCCTGAGTAAGTGAATGGAAAGTTTTGAATTTAAAGTTTATTAAATCCACCATTTATATATCCAGCTTTATACGTGACGGCCATAATTTCCCGCAGTTATTGGCTTCGGCTACGCTTGAATTTTTAAGCGTTTGCAATTCGGCTAATTTACCGACTTTAAGCCCCGAACTTTTACCACCAAAACCTCTTTCACAAAATGTTACCTTAGCAGCCGGCCTTCCCCATTTCTCTACCGGTTATATGCGTTGCTGGGGTCGTGACACCTTTATCTCTTTACGCGGTCTTATGTTTTTAACGGGACGATACGTAGAGGCAAGGTTTATAATATTGGGCTTTGCGCAATGCTTGCGCCATGGATTAATACCTAATCTCTTGGATAATGGTGTCAGACCTCGCTTCAATTGCCGCGATGCCGTTTGGTGGTGGTTGTTTAGCATTAAGCAATATGTAGAGCAAGCTCCTCAAGGTGCCAAGATACTGAAAGATAAAGTTTCGCGTATATTTCCTTATGATGATTCAGAAGCTCATGGCCCTGGGAAATTTGATCAAATTCTAATAGATGTTGTGCAAGAGGCTGTGCAAGTTCATTTTCAAGGATTACTGTATACAGAACGTAATGCGGGGCCCGAAATTGATGATCATATGACTGTCAGAGGTTTTAATAATCAAATTGGTGTAAATCGGCAAACGGGTTTTGTATATGGCGGAAATCAATGGAACTGTGGCACATGGATGGATAAAATGGGTTCGTCAGAGAAAGCTGGCAATAGAGGGCGGCCAAATACACCGAGGGATGGTAGCGCAGTAGAGCTGGTAGGCCTTCAATATGCAGTCTTACGTTTCATGCAATCTATAAATGAACAGGGGCTTTCTGAATACAAGGAGGTAACCCGTAAAAGCCCGGAAGGTATGCGGCCTAATAAAATCGTATAGAAATTATAATTATTTCTCTTTCATGCAGGATTAGTGTCTACCTGGACTTATAAAGATTGGGCTGATCGGATCAAAGAGAATTTCGAAAATTATTTTTTCGTCTCCAATGAAGACACTGCTTCGTTAGCTAACAAAAAGAATATTTACAAAGACTGTTATGGTGCTTCTCACAGCTGGACTGATTATCAATTACGTTGCAATTTCCCCATCGCTATGGTAATAGCTCAGGATCTTTTTAATCCTCAGCACGCTTGGGCAGCCTTAGAACAGGCTCGTGAACATTTAGTGGGCCCCTTAGGTATGAAAACTTTGGATCCAGGTGATTGGAATTACCGTGGTACCTACGACAATTCCAACGATTCGTCAGATGCCAGTGTGGCTCATGGAGCTAATTACCACCAAGGCCCTGAATGGATTTGGCCAATGGGCTACTATTTGAGGGCACGTTTGATCTTCGCTAAGAAATGCGGACATCTAAATGAAACAATTGCTGAAACATGGTAAGTGCAAAGCGTAACAACTAGACAGAATACCGATTATATCTCTGAGAGCATTAGTAGAATCGATCATTTTTTGTAAAGGTTTTCTGTTCTAAATGTATACTTGGTGTACAGTCGCAAATTATTGAAGAGTTTAACGTCATTTTTTCGGAATTTTCGATATAATTCAATTTGTTTTTTTTTTTTTTTGGGTCTTGCGATGTGACATATGACATGATTAAATATGTGCAGAATTTTAAGAAAAATCTGTATCCCGCAATACAGTCAAAGAGAAAGTCAACGGCAAAATATTTTGAAGACAAAAATCAGTCAACCATATCAAGGCATATGATGGCCCATTACATCCTATACCACTTGTGGCGCGTGGCTATGTTAAGCTTGTGCGGATGTATGCGATAGCCAGCAGGACTTGACATAAACCGTCCACCTTTTATTGCCGATTTGAACTTGTCCGTCTATCTGCCTATCTGTCCATCTGTCTGTTTTGTTTTCTTGAATTAAAAATGGTTTGTATGGGAAAAACTTTCTCGACCATTTCCCGTATAACCTCGTATGGTATTTGATGGGAGGCCGTGGCCCTCTGTAGTGTTTTTACTTATCTTCACAAAACCTCTTCTGTTCTATCGTGTTAATAAAATCAAATCGTTTTGAATTTTCAGGAAAATTTTAAGGCTTCACTTAAAAGAATTACAAACATCACACTGGCGGGGGTTGCCTGAACTAACTAATGAAAATGGTGCTTTTTGCCGTGATTCATGCCCTACACAAGCCTGGAGTATAGCAAGTATAATGGAGGTAGACTTTTTCCAAGCATGTTTTCGAACTCCTCATGAATGCCTTTCTTTCTTCTTCGTTTCAGGTGCTTTACGATTTACACTCCTTGGGAGGAGATTTCTAAACGGACCTATCAATTGTCTTCGTCGATCATACATTTGGAGATGTTGCGTTTTATTTTTTGTCATCATGTCTGTTTGTATGCATTTGTTAATTGTTTAAATTTTACAACTAATTATCTTATTAAAAAAGTTTTCTTAGTTAATAAATTTTTATAAAATGAAAAGCTTTTCAAGCAAATTTTTCAATCATTCCAGTTTTTCGTTGCCAAAAGCAAAATATAATAACTTCATGTCCACGCACCTGAAGAAGAAAAATCTTCTTTGAGATCATATCTTGAATTCAATTGATGCTGATAACTATGTTAAAAAAGGGCACGACTATATTAAAAGGGTGAAATCTATGTTAAAACTGTTCAGAAGAAGTGCAAAAGGTTAGAGTAGATGAAAAGTGTATATAAGCGTACGATAATGAGCCAATTTTCCATGCCTGTCTGTCGACTCTATTCTCGGACAGGTGGATTACGCAGAACGACTTAAGATAGACGCACCTTTCCATCTTCTTCTTTTCTTCCGGATCATATTCTGAACCGATCTAAGCTTGTCTATCCATCTGAATTCTGTCCTCGTATTCTTATGTTCAACCCGCAGATCGAAATTTTTAAGATATTTTGATGAAATTTGGTAAAGTGACGTATTCTAATCCAAGGTCAAACGCTGTCGAAAGGAGTCAGCGTAGAATCACAAGAACATGGCATAATTCGGGCATGTAATGATCGATCTTGCCCGACCATACCCTTCTATCTTGTTTTAATACTAATTATAATTGATAACCGCTACCAAGAAGACGAAAAATATAATCGAGTTAAATATCAATATCAGTGGGAATTATCGTTTTAATGTTAATGAAAGTTTACTTATCTTACATTTTTATAATTTACTCAGATATAAATAAGTATACTATAATAAAGAAATGATAACCAAGGCTAATACGTACATTTTTTATGAAAGGTACACATCGTTTAGACTACTTTTTAAGTCGTAACATTTTTTTGTATTTTTTGAATTTTTAGTTTATACTTTTATAAAAATATACTGTTTGACTCGTGTTTTTCTTAGATTTTCGAAGGTTTTTTTAAATGCTTTTTGTACATAGAAGTACTGTTTATAAAATTAACGTGAATTTCGCAAACATATTGTGCTACTCTTGAATTCGATGATTTTCTTCGTCTTGGATTGACTTTAAATCTCGGCCAAATTTCACATCTACGAGAGAGTTGAGATCCGGACCAGCTACTGATTCCATTTTACCTAAGGGATCACCTAAGCAATCTTCCGTTCTAAGTGATTGCATGGAAAAACGTTTCACTCTGTGTATGGATTCATCGTACTTGTCTATGCTAGTGTTTGCTTCCATTTCGGTTTTCTCATCTTTCACTTGTAAGATATCACGACGTATTGCCTCCACATTTTCTTTATCTATTGACTTATCTACTTCGCTATTGTATGAAGGCGTTGCTTCGGGGGTTTGATTAAAAATATTCATAATCACATTCTTCAGTGGGACGGATTTCAAAGTTTCATTTAGTTTCATCTGCGTATTATTGATTAATAAAGGCAAAGGTAACGCCAAACGATGCTCTAATTTTATAGAAACATTAGTACTCTCGAGATCATTTTTAACAGAAAGCGAGGGCTTAGTAACGTTTTCATTTACTTTTGAAGCAATTGCTTGTTGATTTACGGAAGAGTTGTTAGTGTTCGCAAGAATAGATAACAACTTGTTTTCTCCGGATTTTGGATCCGCAGACAGTTTGCGATTTTCTTCTTTTTCTTGTTGTTGTACTACTTTACGTTCAATTTGTTCAAATTTTTCTACAACTTCGCCTAGCTTTTCAACCACTAAATTTTGGGTCTCTTGATTTTGTTTGACCAATTCTTCTTTTAATTCCTCGACGCGTTTCTCTAACAGATTTTTGGTTTTTTCCAATTCTTTTTGCGTCTTTTTCAACACTTCATTTTCAGCGTTTATATTTAATTTTGAAGTTTCTTTAACAGCCTCGTCTTCTTTCTTGATAGCATCGCTATCAATTGTTTGCTGAATGGGTTCAAGTTGAGATGAATTTGACGATTGTTGTTTTTGCTCTTCGACTGAAACTCTCGTATCGCTATGCTTTTCTAATAGTTTTATAATTTTTGAATCAATTTCTTTGTTATTGGCTTCCGATTTCGCGTCTATCTGGTCTTTGATTTCTTTGACTTCTTTCGCAACTTGCCGTTCATCATTACCATGTACTTCATCTACCGGCAAGGGAGGTGGTGGCGGTTTACTTTCCTTGTTATCTTCATCGAGCGTTTGTTTGTTGTTTTTCTTAGATTTAATCTCTTCTTCTTGGGTTAGTTTGGCTACAATAATTCTCTCCATGTTAATTAGATTTTTTTTCATTAAATCTTTTGGAAGGTCTGTGGATTGTAAAACACCATCTTCTTTTAAATGAGCACCTGAGCTTTTTTCGTCTATAGCATTGAGATTTGCGTACGTGCCTAAAATCATTAAACAAAATCCACTTATGATAATCAATTGAGCCAAGCTACGTTCGCTGGAGGGCTTGGTAACAATTGTACGAAAGCATGCTGCCGGAAACATGATACATATAGCCACGCCTATTGTAGAACCAACCAAACCGATTATTAATTCGACAGAAGGTATCATCAATGCAACTGTCAAAGCAAACAGTACTATAAATACAGTAATCGCTTTGAACTGACATTCTGGTATGTAACCAGAAGCATCCGTTTGGCCCTGAAAAGTCAAAATTTTCTCAATTGAAATTATCGTCATTCCTCTAATGAAGTAATAAACTTGCCTTACGATAGAGTAATGAATATAAGCTCGCACGACATGGAAATATAACCAACGGAAAGCTAAATGCAACCGATAACACAAAACCAATCTTAATAACATCGCTGCCAAAAGATGCTGATAAGTTTACAAGAATGTTACCTGAGTTGAAAGATTTTATTATGAAACAAGTTTCGGAAATAGTTCAAATTAGTCAGCTCACCAGAAAATGTGTAATCGCAAAACGCTACATAACCAAAAAAGCCTACGGCCGTGTAAACGAAGGTGCAGATCGAGACAGCATTCCGGACGATGCCATTCAGTTTTTCCACACTCTGATTACTTACGCTGGTGAAAACTTCAAAAATTTGCCTACCTTCCAAATAACATATATAAGTTGAATTTCTTCTGTTTATGGTTACAAGTTCTTACATTTGACACGATAATGCCATACTAAATATTGGTAAACATTGCAGTATACCTTTTGGTTGCCAATAAACGACTTTGTTCGGCCAGTCGTAAGCCATAATGTGACTTTTTGATTCTAATATTATCTTCGCTACTAAGCAAACATAAAATCCAATTGAAGCGGTACATACGGTTGACAAGCTGTCGACATTCTTCAGCATAGCTAATGGTAAAATGCAGAACAATGTTACGCCACACATTAACCAAGTACGTAAATGCCTCGGTCCCTGTTCTAAGGCAAACATTTTGGTTAAAATTTGTGGACCCAGATCGCCTACTACCACAAAGTAAGTTATACAAGTGCCAAGCAAATAGCCAATGATGCATAACTCTACCAGCAATTTTCCCGAAGCGCCGAAAGCATGAAATCCTGAAATTGAAGGGATCACGTATAACATACACTTTTGCTTAATTGACAATACGATTACCTAAGAATTCAAAACTTTTTCGTCTAGTCAACAATGAAGATTTGATGAGGTAATGGCAACAAATTCGTGTAGTCCAGTTGTTTATTATCAGCAAAAGTATAGACAAAAGTATACCGCACTACATAATGAAACGAAAGTCGTTAAAAAATGTTGTTAAAAATATTAAATTAGTTTTGTTTTCTTAAATTTTTCTCTCTTATATATATCAAAAGCACGAAGTTAATTTAGCGAGATTATCATGGAGGTGATTGTGAGATACTATCAATACATGTAAAGGGTTTTAAAGTACAGTAAGAAAGAACATTATATTCGTCTTGAGACCAATCATAGATATTGAACCGTTTTATTGTTAATTCTGCGAATAATGCGTTAATTTGTGGGTCGTAATAATTAATTGGTATTATTATTATATTTGATCGAGCATATGTTGTTCATGGGCATTTATTAAGGTTGCTTTTATCCTTTACTTTCAAAATATCAGACCTTGTCTGATAAGTGAATTTCGAAACATGCGTTATGTTTATTATTTAAGACGTAATTTATTTCCGGCTCTAAACTTACTTTTTGAAAGCAAAAAGGCATCGCCAGAATGCCTACACCGATTATACTGTTTGCAAGGGTCATTACACAGCCAGTATCACCCAACATTTTGAAGACTGCAAGATGGTGAAATCCAGTAAATGCTCTAAATTTAAAATCAAAAACATCTGTCGACGATTGGATAAATTGATAACAAATCTGTGAATGTACAATTTTTAATATTGAATTAAATTGTTTATTCGCTCCAACCTACTTTATGACGATAATCTAGAAAATTGAAAGAACATTTTCATACTACCGTCTTTTTAGCAGTTAACAGATTTTTCGCAGTTGATTTGTTAAAAAAAAACACTCTCGACGCTTGTTTAAAGCAGCAACTAATATAATAAGCGGTTTGAATTTTCAGTAAACTTTTTATAATAAAGAACGTCAGCAATGCAATGTAATGCGAAAACAAAAATGATATTTAACTTTACGATCTTGCGCTCACATCAGATGTTTAGAAGTAGCGGCAAAAGAGCGTTAAAGGAAACTGTAGTGGGCCTTTACGATATTAATATATGCAGAGATGTCGGTGGCAACTATTGCATAGCGTAAACATTGGCAACTGTTAAAAAGGCGTATGGTAACACTTAATATATCTGCGTGTTCCTTTCCTTTTCGTAAATTTCCTGCACAAAGATGGAGGTAAAAGACTTACACAAAGATCTACTTTTTATGAGAACATCTGGGAACTTTTACAAGAAATAATAATAGAAACTGAAAATATGAACGATTTTGCAATCGCTAATAGAATCATTTAGCAAGTTTGCTTTTAAATAATTATCGAATTGATTAACTTCAAAAATGCTTTTGTTTTTGTTTAGCAAAACGAAGAAGTTGTTAAGAAGAAGCGCGCCTTCAAGAAGTTCACCTACCGTGGTGTTGACTTGGATCAGTTATTAGATATGCCCAAGTAAGTTGTAATTATATGTGAGCTAATTGCTTTAAAATTTACAAAATCTTCGTTTTCAGTAACCAATTAGTTGAGTTGATGCATAGCCGCGCCCGCCGTCGTTTCTCTCGTGGCTTAAAACGCAAACCTATGGCGTTAATAAAGAAACTTCGTAAAGCCAAAAAGGAAGCTCCACCAAATGAGAAACCCGAAATTGTAAAAACACATTTAAGAAATATGATTATAGTGCCGGAGATGACTGGCTCTATAATTGGTGTTTACAATGGCAAAGATTTCGGTCAGGTTGAAATCAAACCAGAAATGATTGGTCATTATCTAGGTGAATTTTCTTTGACATATAAGCCCGTCAAACACGGTAGACCCGGTATTGGAGCTACTCACAGTTCTCGGTTTATTCCATTGAAGTAAACGGAGAGAAACATATTGATTGATATAGCTAGGGAGCGATGATTCGAAAGAATAAAAATTAAAATTAATGAAAGTGCGTGTGTAAAAATTTTTTGAACGGAAATTAGTGCTCTTCTAAGTGAATAATAGTGGATATACTTGGATCTAGAAAAGAAAATAATTAAAAGGTTGCCTAACAAAACACTACATAGTTAAACTATCCCGCAGAAGGTAATCCTTTCTCTTGTTTAAACCGCAGTTTAAATTTATATTTTTATTTAATATTGCTTACTAGCAAAGAATTAGTGGAAATAGCTACAACATTATTTAGAAAATTTTTATTAAAGGCCAGAATGAGTCCCTGCTGCAGCATATCGATAGTCTTAAAGCGGAAATTGATTCTACTACTAGAGACGTAGAACATCACGAGGTACGAATTTTTTTGCACAATCAACTTGTAAAGGAGACACGATTTGATAAGATATTTGGTATATAATATTTTAGATACTTTTAGGATGTGTTATAGACATATATAATCGCATCTCAATTTCTGTGAATCGTATACGATACGAAATGTAGCAATTATCTCAAATCAAGGACAGAATTATTTATTCAAAAGGCTTAATGGAACATAATTGCATAGTTTGCAACCAGCAATGAGAGCCAAGTCAAGAATAAAAGTGAACAACATCAACGATAATCAAAATTTTCTGCAATTAAGTGATATTTTTGAGACAAGCCCTGATGAATTTTTTTGTAGCACAAAATTAGATTTTGACGACAACGCTTCCGCATTGAATAACACCACCTTTTCGCAGCGTAGCTTTTACAATAGCGATGTAACACTAATCCCGCAGGCTCAGCCGATTACTTTGCCACCTCACACTATGGAATTAAGCACATTTGCCGAGTTGCCATTAGAACGTTTAAATTGCGTACCAAAAGAATGGAGTAGTGGAGTTTGTACAAATATTTAAAAACAAAATCATCATCGCTTGTTCGTTTTTGTCTCTTTTACTCCGATTCATTTGTACTCAGTTTGTTCCTTTTATCAGAAATTTCATTTAAAAAGAAAATGTCAGCCAAGGAAGAAAGAAGTAAGTAAATTTTTTCTTTTTTTTTTAAAAATACCTAAGAAAGACTTTGCGGCGGGATGCCCGCCAAGCCGAGTATGATTTGCGGCGCCAGGCCGCCAAAACGAAAAAGAAACAGGCGAAGAAGGAAAAAACGGGGAGCCCCGATAGAGCTAAAGAAGTATGATTTACTCCACAAAATTGAGAGGCTAAGGCGCCGTAGAGGAAATAATTCAAACACGCCACCCAAACGGCCCAAAAACTCCAAACGCCGCAGAAATCGAGGGAATAATAAAAAACAAATCCATATTGAAATAAATATGTGACTTTATTTAATTAAAGATTATTCCAAAATTTAAAAAAAATTGTTTTTTTCATTTTTGATAACTGACTGCACTTTTATGCACAGTTGGTTACACTTTTGACAATTCTTCCTCTTGCTCATACAATTTAGGGTTGCCAAACTTTGCTAATGCGTTCGATAATATTTATTATAATTATATATTATATTTGTATAGTTACGCCTTAAATCCCAAACTTTTATAATACCATCGCCGGCACCACAGGATATTAAAGTATTTGTGTCCTTAAAAAACAGGTCAAGTTACAAAAATATTATCATAAAAACGTTTTAAATGAAAATTAAAATTACCTGAAACACGAGCCCGTTACACTACTACTTGAGGGCGTATTTGTTGGCACTTTCGTGTGCAAGCGTCGACGATTATAAATTGGTGTAGCTGGTCCCCCTACATGACCACTACAAATGCAATTTTCTGGGCGGGAAGCCATCCTACAACAACTATGCCACTTTCCATTCAAGTCCTAATAAATCTCCTCGTTTATACACCAACTATTAAAGACTGCATTTGATTGATTAGTGAATACACATTTACTTGAATTAAATATTGTTTATTGGGATAGATCTAATTGGATAATGACATCTTGCCGTTTTCTGTTGAGATAGATTCGTCTTTTATAGGTTTTATAGGAACAGGCATTACAAGTTCATAATGTAATTCGCTTACAACTCTCTGTTGGCAGCATTTCAAAATGTGAATTTGTTTAGTTATCTTATATATATATACATATCTTAAATAATAGTAGCATAATCTAATCGCGCTTTAGAGAAAATAGCGTATATGTTCTCAGTAATTTGTATAAAAATTCCACCAAATTCCTGGGTTTTGTGAATCCTTTCTGTAGAAGAATTTTGTTGTAAAAACAACTTATTTAAATCAACGAAATAATTATATGGAAATAATGTTACATAGATAATAGGAACAAAAGTTTTTTTTTCTTTTTTTGTAAAACGTATTAAATTCTTTTTATTCTCAATAACTTGGAACAGTATGAAATAATAACATAAAAATGTTGTGATAGTTTAGGATTTTTTTAAAAATACTTCTTATTCATCTTCGTCTTCTCACGCTATTATTAACGCTATTGTTATTAATTCGATCGTATGCAGTATCCTTCATACTGCTATTCGTCGGTGATCTGCTATCTTGTAAGCCACGTTGTTGGTGTTGAAAGCTTTGTGTCGATACCATAGGGAGTCGAATTCCATTCGATGGAACGTTATTTTGGACGATCGGCATTCGCGTTGAATTGCTATTTATTGGTAGGGTGGACGTTGATGATGAGGCATCGTTATATTCGAAGGAACCATAGGCACTGTCTTTGACTTGTGAATCATTAAAGGAACGATTAAAATATTGCTGCTGTTGCATATTAGTTTGAGTAGATTGATGAACACTGAAAGCGTTATTGCTTTGCTGCTGACTGCTTAGAGGCGTAATTAGAGAAGGAACTATGCCCTGAAACGAATTAGCTATACCCGTGAAGGTTACAGATTTATTGTCAGAGAGCGTTTGAAAATTTTGTTGTGCTATATTAACGTTATTGTTGTTAGTCTCTGCAGTGCTAAAGTGATCGAGAGCAGGCGTGCTTGAGAAAAGAGCTGTTCTCACCGAATCTGATTTCGAACGATGCAATATGCTTTTTTGCTTTGGTGCTGTTCCAGCGGAAGTGCCCACTCCTATTGAGTTTTTATTAGGTATAAAGCGTTCGAAATTAGCATATACGGGCTCCTCGAGTGCTGTTGTTAATACTAAACTATTGTTGCTAAGCCGAGCTGCTTGATAATCGTTGTCATAAGGGAATTGGTTAAGCTCACCTGAACGTTGCAAATCGTTGTTATTGGAATTATACATGTCCAGATTGCTGGCCAGCAAGTCGGGTCGTGATCCCAAGGTTAATAAACTGCCAGCCAAGCTGTCGTGATTGTTCATAGTGGATAAATTACTGCTAGCTACGGAATAGGGACTGGTTGACTTGGGGCGCTGTGTTACACCCATTTCACTAGGCCCTTGTTGCAGAACACCAGTGCGTGGATCAAAATGTTTCTGTGAGGCATCTTTAAGGGTAGTCTTAATTTCTTTAGGCTTTTCCATCGTAGAAGGGCGCAGCGAAGAAATATGACCGCGGACCGGTTCTCGAGAAACTGAAGATGAGGGCGAGGACGCCGAATTATTTTCATCGAATTCTTCCTAAAAATTGTTCAAAAAAAATTGTTGTTAAAAAAAAAGAGGAAAACAAAATATTAAATTTGAATCTAATTTAATCATTTTACTTCTTCTTCCTCGTTTATCACGGAAGATTCAATCCACTCCTTTATGCGATTCTTTTTACTCATACGATCCACATTGGTTTCAATGCCGCAATCGGCCAAGTTAAACAGCAAACGATTTTTCTCGTCCGGACTGCTGTGAAAGGAATACATCGACGGACACAATTCGTCGGTTTCGTATTCGGCCATTTCTTTTTCAGCGGTCTTCGCCAACCAACGATCATCCATATATTTGCTAAGATCCGCCAAACTCTTCGGCCTGCGATCAGCTCTCGGCTCTAAAAAACGCTTAAACATACGCTGAGCACGTGAGGTTAAAAGTTTAAAAAGTTTTGGCGTACGACGCAGCGCCAACATCATACTACTTTGCCATAATAAATAGCGGACATAACGGGGATCATCTGAGGCTGCTTTCTGCCAAGGTAAGCAACCCGTTAAGCAAACAAATAGCACTATTCCGAATTGCCATACATCATGACTGGGATCGGCTCTAAAGAAAAACGAAAAGATAAGAGAAGTGAGCAGGCGATTCCGAGTTCCATGTTTCTTTTACTTATAGGTTTCTTCTGCTTTTATGTCTAATACTTCGGGCGGACTATACGGCAACCACTCGTTACGTCTCTCCACTATAGTACCGCTCTGGTAAGATTCACCGAAATCGCATAATTTCACACGCGAAAAATCTGAACGATATATAAGAATATTATCCAACTTAACATCCCGATGAACTATGTCTCTGGAAAGAAATATTCATAAATTTTTTTTAAATCAATTCCCCAACTAGGAATTACTCCAATCTACTTTGAATGTATATAATCTAGGGCGGCTGCTATCTGCTTAGCCACACGTTTACTGTATACTTCACCCACCCCAGTATCGGTGACATTCGATGTCAGATCTCCTGCAATCATTCAAAAAATCATTTTAATTTAATATTCATACATTTTGGATTTCCCAGACAATACCAAGCGGTGCATATTCCTGTGTGAATACGTAGAAGCCAGCCGTTTCAAATGCCACATCGTATGTGGTCACTATGTTTCGATGTATACCCAAATGTAAACCGTAATGGAATTCGCGATAAAAATCTCTAAGTGATACATAAGGCTTAGGAACAGCTTTTAAAACCATTTCCGTATGAGAAGCTCGATGTTCTACCAAAAGAATTTTTCCAAACCATCCTTCTCCGACAATTTGCAATATATCGAATTCGTCTACCAAATGAATCTGTAATAAAATGAAAACTATTTTTTAAATGGGTCCAAATGGGTTTTGTTCTCCACTTCTTAAAGATGGCAATGTTTTGAAATTAACGATTCATAGTTAAACTATAAGCTCACGCTCAACTTTTCCATTAGTTCGATGTGAACTTTCCCAAAAAGTCGGAAAAATAATGAAGAGAAAGGCAAAAATATATTTTCGATGCTCCCCGCCCGCCGAATTGCCGTAAGCTGAAGGCTAATAGTTGTTACACTCGTTTAACACAAATGTAATGTATGGGTTTAACGACCTTGCGTATATGAAGGTTTTGAAATCAGCATTCGAAAGTACTAATGTTATACTATGCTTGATTCAAAATTTTTGACATTCCTTGTTTAACTGTAAGTTTTTGCGTTAGGGTACGATGTTTATATGTGGAAGAGTGGAGTTCGATTTGCGCTGTATTTCATATGTCATGTGTAGACGAATATTTTGTCTAGTTGACCTTATATACATGGGGTGTTCTGGTTATTTCCTGTGAACAATTGTGCGGATTGAACATGTTAACATGAGGGCAAATATTAGTTTGGGGAAAAAGAAATCCATTATTTTTTCGGTAGATGGCTGCACTGATAGATTTCTCGCAAAGTATCGATCAAACAATTTCAGATTTATGCTCGTTGGAAAGGTGACATTTCGCAGTAAAAAAAATTCTTATGCTGTTTTTTGTTTGGTGCATGCAGTTGTGAGTTACAGCGTGTTAAAAATGGAAGTGAACAAAGAGAAAATTCGGCACATTTTACAGTTTTTCTTTGACAAAGCGAAAATGCAAGCCAGGCGGCTAAAATTGTGAATGGTGTTTATGGTTCCGATACTGTAACAGCCAATTATGTGCAATTTTGGTTTCGTAGATTCCGTTCAGGAATTTTTGATGTTAAAGATGCACCTCGCACAAGTAGGCCGGTCGTCGAAAATGTCGATAAAATCGGAGAAATGATCGAAGTGGACCGGCATGTTAGCAGTCGTAACATCGCCCAGGAGCTAAAAATCGACCATGAAACAGTTTTAAACCATTTACACAAAGCTGGATTCAAAAAGAAGCTTGATGTTTGGGTGCCACACCAATTAACAGAAAAAAACATGATGGATCGAATTTCCACCTGCGAAGCCTTGGCCAAACGGAATGAGATAGACCCATTTCTTAAACGGATGGTGACTGGAGATGAGAAATGGATCACACACGATTACCCTGTGCGAAAACGATCGTGGTCAAAGAGCTGTGAAGCACCTCAAACGGCCAGGAAGGTTTTGCTATGCATTTGGTGGGACTGGAAGGGGATTATTTATTTTGAGTTGCTTCCATATGGCCAAACGCTAAATTCTGATCTCTACTGTCAACAACTGGACCGTTTGAAGATAGCGATTGACCAGAAACGGTCAGAATTGGCCAACAGGAAAGGTGTCGTTTTCCACCAGGACAACGCTAGGCCACACACATCTACAGTGACTCGCCAGAAACTTCGGGAGCTTAGTTGGGAAGTTTTAATGCATCCGCCATACAGTCCGGACTTGGCACCAAGCCATCTTGCATTGCAAAATTTCTTTAATGATAAAAAATTGGAATCTAGGGAGGATTGTGAAAATCGACTACTAGAGTTTTTTGCAAATAGAGACCAGGAGTTCTATGAGAGAGGCATTTTGAAGTTACCTTTAAAATGGCAACAAATCGTACAACAAAACGGTGCATATTTGACCCAAATCGGACAATCCGAAGCATGTTAAATAAAGTCCTGAAGTTCATATGAAAATAATGGATTTCTTTTTCCCCAAACTAATATAAATAATTTTAGTAATACTTTGCTTTTTTCCTTGTCATTATAAATTTAAAATTTACAATCTACTCAAGAAGACAATAAGGCCGGGAAAATAACAAAGGTTATTGTCTCTCATACGGGAAGAACATAACAATGTGCATAACAATACAGATAAGCAACAAAAGTCGGTTAATTTCTAAGTGCCTTTTTATATACATATATGCGTATGTATGTATATTGTCAAAAGCTTTGCAGCAGCCAGGAGGGAGTCTCGCACACTGCATAAAGTGCATATATTCTCCATCAGCATTAAATTCGAAGCCGATTTAAACAAGTCTATCCGTCCGTCTGTTGTAAAGCTTCTACTGATCGTAAAAATGCAAATATCAGTTTAAAATTTGTCCCAAAAATTGGAAGTTCTTGCAGTCCGTTTGGTATTGAAATTAAGACAAATCGGTCAAACGACACGAACACGGTACGACATTACCGGGGACCATCTCTGTTTTCTCAATCATATAAAATATTGAAACTTCATGCTTTGCAGCTTCAAAGATCACACAAGATGTACATATTATCAATCAGCATTAAGCGATGATGGGTAGAAAAGACTCGATCGCGGTCGAATATAATTTTCTTACTTGTTAATCTTCTTTTCTCGTCGTATTCATCTCGAAGAGATAGTGATTAGTTAGTTTGACAAGACATTTTGGAGAGAAGCGTTGAATTGAATTTTTAATATACAAAGGAAAATCCATCATATCGTGAATAGTTTTACCTGAACAGAGCTAGCAAGAGACGGAACATTATCAATAGGACAAGAATCCCATTGATTGAGTCTAGAGGATTGATATTATGAGTCTTTGCCACAGTCGTGTACCACAGGTTCGAACGGTTCGTAGGATACTCTTATATAAAATTCATTTGTTTCTTAGATCAAGTTGAGATTCTAGACGATTTACCTAACGGAGTTTTTTGGTTTGTAATTCAAAACAAGAACAATAGGCCCAAGATTTACATATGAACGTATACTTTACTACGTCTCCGATGTCTATCTAATCTTTTATGTATGCAGCTTTGTGTATAAGCAGCGCGGCTGTAATCTTTTAACATCTTTCGTTCGGTTAATCTAGTGATTTTTAAACGAACGATGGACGATGTCCTATTTTATAACTATGATTAGAGCCGGTTGTGAAGGCAGATACAGCATTGCTGTGTGCGAGCAAATTGAATTATGTGAAAGTTTAAACGTAGGGGCCGGATGCGACCCACGGGCTCGGGGAATTACCAAGGATCTATAGTGTGTTTACACAGAGAGTACTGTACAAGTACAATGAACTAAGCACCTTCTCGATATGACCCAACAGCCGGGGAATTATGCATGCCTGGTCTAGTCGCATTATGTGCTGTCCTTTTAAGGACTTTGAAGGTGGCAAGAGGGTTGGACGCACCAAATAGGATTACTAAGGATCTATAGTGTGTTTACACAGAGAGTACTGTACAAGTACAATGAACTAAGCACCTTCCCGATATGACCCAACGGCCGGGGAATTATGCTTGCCTGGTCTAGTCGCACCATGTGCTGTCCTTTCAAGGACTTTGAAGGTGGCAATAGGGTTGGACGCACCGAATAGGATTACTAAGGATCTATAGTGTGCTTACGCAGAGAGTACTGTACAAGTACAATGAACTCAGCACATTCACTATATAGCATTTCAGTTCGGTTGTGACCCTTCAACAATATCACTGCGATTGTCTGCATAGACTCAAATTATATACAGCAATGCTTTATGAAATATATTGTTGAACGAAAGTATTGAATAAGCAATTATTTTATATAGCAAAATAAACAATTTTGTAAAAAACACACGAGAACATAGTTTTTTTTAGTTTTAACACCAACAAAGCCCAAAGCTGTTTCTTAACGCACAGGAAAAGTGATGAACAGCCCCTCTCTTTTGGTTGCGTCAATGTAGAAGAATCGGTGAGCTTTGATGTTCTGATCATGAGAATGCAATACGATATTCGAGGGACAGGACATGTGTTCGAAGTGGCGAGAGACGCAGTAAAGAGTTTTTAAAGCGATGAAAAAAATACTTCATTGCAGACGATATTCGTACCATTGACACCGCCTATAACGGATCAAAATTAGAGTATAATTCACATATATGAGCGGCCTTCTACCACATACAGCGAAAGGATCAGTTGCTCTGGGGGACCAAAATGCGCCCGGATCTCTTCACACATTTGAGCGTCGGTGTGATGTGGTCTGTGTTGTGCTTAAGCGCTGTTACATCTGGTGGTCTACGGAGATAAAAGAGTTATGTTCAGTAGTTAATTCCTTCAACATAATCACAAGTCTTTCCCAGCGTTGTCACCCACTCGTCTTACAGTTACTTGTATGCCGCATAACAGACTACCACGGCTGGCCGTTTGTTATTCGTTCTGCTGCCTTTGGAATAACCTACCAGCAGTGGTATTTCCTGGCGTACCTTTTGTCTACATTTACAACTCGATAGTTTACAAACACTACTCCCTTTCTCCATCCCACTTTCCGTATAACCCCGTGCCAGCACGTAAAGGGGGCATCCCCTGAGTGCCTGATCATAGAAAAAAGATGCTTCCAGGTACCTCGGCGCCCGTATTGATAGATGAGTAAATAATTATCGACATTGGTCAGAGGGCATCCATTAACATTCCCATTTCCCTATTAGCGATAAATATCCCCACTCTTTTAAATACACGTTTCAGATCCGTAAGTGTTTAGAGAGTGATGGCTTCTTTGTGAAACACTACCAACACATTCCCTAATCATTTTAAAGGCAGAAGGAGGGAAAGAAAATGAAGAAGAAGAAGAAGCATATTGCAGGTAATGCTTAGAAAGCAACCTTTACCTACCGAAGTGCTATTCAATGCAAGTTCATAAAAACGATATCAATACGAATAGAGAAGTCATAACACTCGTAATATTTATGATATTCATAATTTTTGCAATTATTTATTTGTAGGACTTTTTATATCGAGTTGAAAAGGAATGGAAAAGTGGCGCCTCTATAAACAAAAACTTATGTTTATACAAAACTATTTTACGATTCATAAGCAGGGGAGCAAATGTGGAAGAACTGGTGATGCTTTTGAGATATTTTCAAATGCAATTGCGATGGAGCGTAAAAATGTTTACCGTTGCACATAGACGAGTGAAATTTGAATTTTTGATTCTGAAAACAATTCGTTTACTATAATTGAACTCACCTTTTCCAAATCAAATTCACGTACTTTATGTATATTGCCGCGTGGCTTTTTCGACATTTTTGTTTAGATTGCTACCAACTGTTGCTGTATCAACTAATAAACATCGTTTATGCGATATTATTAATAAATTCTTAAAATTATGTATTTATTCTATTTAACGCAATTTTTATTTATTTATTAGTCTCTTTTTTAGTTCATCACCACACTTGTGTTTATTTTATTTTGCATAGACGCGCGCGTATCAATTTATGCATTCATACATACATATGTACATACATATTTATATTCATATCTTTTTGTTTCAAATGAGAAAATTTGTTAAAGTTTTTTTTGTTTTATTATTTTTTTTTTTTTTTTTTTGCTTCTCTCGCCTGTATTTGCTATAAACACAAATAGTTCGGTTGTTGTTTTGTGATTATAATGTAATGCACATATAAAACACAAATGCAAACCTTTTTAAGAAAAATGAAAAAAAAAAAAAAAATTCTTATTAATTGTAGTTTCGTGTTTATGTGTTTCGGGAAAATAAAAATTGAATTTTTTCTTTCTTTAAATGAACATTTTATACATGTTTAAATATGCATATTAATGCTAATATTATTCGTTTATACATTTTATTAAGTAGTCGGCATTTTTTTCCCCCATTGTTAAGAATTTACGTTGCATGCATTCATTATGTGCTTCGCGATGACTTATAATTTTGATTTTGTTTTCCTGGAAAATTTGCGACATTTTATTTAATTACTTCTATCGTTTATTATCATCTCTCATTCATCAAGTAGTAAATCCGTAGCAAATTTAAAAATTAAAATCTTACACAGAATCAGAGAATGCGATCAATTAATAAGAGATAAAGTGAAACAAGTAAAAAGACTACACTGGACCATGGTACCGAACTTTAAATACTCCACACCATTCCATGCAATGACTTTTCAAAATAAGCTTTTATGTGAGCAGTGGTCGGAAAGTGATGCGATTCAAACTGTTTTCAATAACGTTCTTGGGGCAAGACATGTCGTTCTCCCAAGCTACTTCAAAATATATCAAATCGTACGAGCTCTATGTTGAGCACAGGAAAATAAGACCGATAGATAAGCTTGGATGAAAAAGTGATTCTGGGATAATGAGAGGTAGATCTAGCTCAGGTCCTTCTGGTTATTGCATACGTTCGCACAAACCTAATGTATCCTGATACCACGAGTAATGTAGGGTGCAATGATGTATTTATAATTAAATTTGGTAATGATCAAAGATATAAAAAAAGAAAAAATTCCAAGAAAAAAATGTCAATGTCAGTTTTTTAAATAAAGTATTTGCAAAATTCCACATAAATGCTTTCCGTTCTTTTCAATAAAATTTCTTTGTTTCACACTCCACTTAACATTTGCAAAACGTTTACATCTTCGAATAATTTGTTGTACTTGAAAAGCCTAGAAGCATAAATCTGTTGCAGTATATTAAAATTTAACATTAAACAAGTAAAAAACAGTGGGGCGCGAGCGTAGTACTGTTTATTCATTGAACGACTTTTCAAAATAAAGCGTTATATGGTAGGTGCTTGAAAAACTCATTCGATCGGAACAATTTTTGGTAGCGTTCGTCCTTGGGCCAAAACACGTTGGTGTATCAGATTTCATTAAAATATCTCAAAAATTGCGGGCTGTAACACGAAGATAAGCAACAAAGACGGACAGACAAATAAATAAGTTCGGATCGATTCGGAAAGTGACTTAAAATCGATTATTATAGTAAAAGGTGGAACTATTCAAATCCTTATACGTATTTCATACATCCGCACAAACTAAAATGCATAGATGATACAAGTACCACGTGTGGTGTAGGGTATAAAAAATTCGAAGATGTCACATGCGCTCTTGGTTTAGAATTTCCCGTAAATCTTCTGCAAAATTGACGTAAGCTTACAATAAGCTTACAATAAGGAAACCAGCGTGATTTTTATATCCTTACATTATGTGACAGGTATCTGGAATTCGTCTTAAAGACGTGTATAGCATTTTTACGTTTTTGTATTTAGAAATGCTTTGTTGTCTGCTTCAGAAGACAATGCTACTGACCGTGTCTAATAAACAATAAAAAAAAAAATAAGTAGAAATATTATGGCTGGGCATGGCCAACACTAGATACCGTACACACTTAGACCAACATAGTTCTTCATTTGTATTCATATTTCCATTTACAGGCTTGCTTTACATAGGAGCCCTCATATGAAAGGGTGCTTTGTCCTCTCATTCAGGTAACCTACACTACTTAACTTACCACATTTCTTCAGTTATGTTCGTGATAGAATATCAAAAATTTTATATTGCTTCCATTTGAAGGCTTACTTTTCATAGGAGTCCTTGTATGGCAGGGAGCCCTAAACTCGAATTAATTTATGGTTTCCTAAAAATAAACTTATATACTACAAAATTTGCCATATAGAAGTTTATCTTGCGTACAACCAGTTGCATGGGAGGACTTCCAAAAAATTCTAGAAACTTTGGTGGAGGGAATGTTTTTTAAATAACGACTGCTTTGGCTTGAAAGTTACAACAATTTACAATACTGACAAAAAATCACCAAAATAATTAAAGAGCTTACAGGAAAAATGAGTCCAATCGGACAAATGATAGTCTTCTAACTAAGAAGAACAGAAGAGCTTATCATTGCTGACATGGTGGCTACCCAAGATTCATGAATATCATATCCATAAAAGTTTCTTTTGTGTTTAAGTATTTTCTTAAAGATTTTTCTAAATATTGCTTCAAATAATTTAAGATGTCTTGCAAAACAAGCATGCGTACAGCTTTCAATTATCTACTCTTGTGCGATCCTCAATAATTTCCCCTTGCTGTAATCCTCAAGTGTGAATAGAAGTGTGAAATTTATTGTCTAACTTGCTTTATCAGAGTATACAATATATTTAGTCTATGAAATCTCTGGATGGTGCCAATATGAGGTCGGTCGTGCAAGAAATATACAAATTCAGAAGATCAAAATTTAAATATTCGTGCATACAAGTGAATTAACCCACAATTTCATATATTTATACATTTACAAATTCACATATGAATATATTCGCGTATTCATACGATATGATATGCCCCTATAATCATTTGTTCATGTATACATACATTCAAAATCATATATTCATATATTTATCTATTCGTATAATTAGATAATCATATCTTAATGTATTTAAATATTCATATAATTATGTATATATATACGCCTTTACGATCTTATATTCATACATTCATATCACCCTGTATTCATTCATTCATATAATCCTCTGTATATATATTCATAAACCCATATTCATATACTCATATATGTGGGTAGATGTATTCTTCTATTCACATATTTGTATATTAATATATTCATATGTTGCTATATTCATATAATATTATATTCATAAGTTCATAGATTCACATATTCATATATACATATATTAGCATTCATGCATACTTATATTCATATATGCATATATTAATACATTCATATGTTCATACATTATACATATATTCATATGTTCATACATTATATATATATTCATATATACATATATTCATAAACATATGTTTATATAAACATATATTCACAATACGATCATATATTGATATGATCATATATTCAAATGTATTTATGTATTTTTCATTTATACATATGTTTATATATTCATATATTTATATATTTGTTTATCCATACGTGCAAATTTTCATATATTCTTCTGTATAAATATTGGTGTTTCGGGGCTTACTAACACTATCGAACTCCTAATCATCGATGATGAGCTGTTGAATGCTTAAACAAATGGTTACTTTGAAAACATAACAAATAGATGTATAGTTGTTTGTGTTTTGTAAGTAAACATTTCTTTTAATGCTTTTTGAATGAATGAATCGAAAAGAATACAATTAATTTATGTCATTGTCGGCATCGCACGCGAATAGAGATCTAAAAGAGAGAAAAACTCAGACCCTAAAACAACAACAATGTATTTTACAAAAGCATGGCGCAGCCCAAGCATTTCTTTTTTCGCTTTTTTTTTTTGTTTTTTTTTTGTTCTTATTTTCATCATAACACAGAAATTTCTTATTTTCAAAACACACACCAACACCAACTTATATAAAATGTGAAATATAAAAAATTATTAACGCTTTTAAAAATATATTAAAGCATATGCAAGAGTATTTTTGCATATGTGTACGCTTCGATGCTCCGTGCATTGATTTAATATTTGTTTTTTTTTTTTCCACACAATTTTCATTTACTTTTACTTTTTATCGCATTCGAATTGAATTCATTTTTGATAAATTAAGTTAATTGAAATAAAATAAATTAATAAATAAATTAATAAAAAATTATGAATAATAGAAGAAGGAGAAGAAGAAGAAGAAGAAGAAATATAAGCAAATAGAAAATCACAAATATTATCTCGACGGCTATTTTTAAAATGCAATTTCAGGCAAAGTTATGCTTCTCGCATTCACACACACTTAGAACATCAGAAAATTCTTTCAAAATTTTCTATTCGAAACCATACCGTGAGATAACAAAGCGGAGACTGGGCGAGCAATCACACAAAATTCAAGCACTTTCCTAAGATCTTTGCACTTATTCAGCTACAGGAGGATCTCTGCCGAGGCTGGCGTACTTCAGAGAAGAGAGATATGTTTACATTACGTTTGTTCTCACTGACAACTAATATGATATATATGCGGTACGTTACTCAATAATATTGATAGATTCTCTTTTTTTTGCAGGTAAACAATCATAAAAGTTGAAGAATGAATGGATATTAAAAGTTTTCAAATGATTCGCGATAACGAAACGAATAATTTCTCCAAACACACTGGCCATTTATGATCAGTCAACTTTTACGGTTCATCAAAGGTTATCCCCACTGCAGTCAAAAGCAATTCTTTGAATACCTATCACAACAAATTCACAAATACACACACACACACATACACAGATAACATTATAATTTGCTAAAGAATGCTGCAACCTTTTGAAAATAGCTTTCAATTATATGCAACAGAGAAAAGGAATTTGTTGATAATTTTTGAATCCAACAAGTTTTTGCTGGCAGTTACTAATAATGTAATTTCGATAGTTTTTCACAAAATTTCACCAGAAGGAAAAAATCATTGAATTAACCGAACGAAGACAATGGCAGCGACACTCTGAAAGAGTTTTGAAAATTTCGCTTCTGAATTCAAGTCTCTTTAAGTCCTCAATACAATTTTAGCAAGTATACCCATCTCTTTTTTTAACCAATTTTGAAATAACACAGTTCACCAATTCTTTTTTCCACCAATTTCTTG